TTTTTTTAATTTACACAATGAGGGCCCAGTGCCCAAGGCTGATATTATCAATATGATGATTGAGGCCGGGGTCCTCACAGTCTACCTGGAGGTAACCAGTAGGATCCTGATGAGAACAGAAAATGAGCCAACAATACTGCACTCTTGATCTAATGTCTACTGATCAATGCACTATTGTTCTGATAACCTCGAACAACAGAGGAAGGTGAACTAGCATAGTGCCTCTTCACCCATAATGGGCGCCAGATAAACATGAGACCCAAACACTTTACCAACTAATTATCCAAACCAAGAAATGGGCACAAGACAGTTACTTGGGGGAGGGAAGAAATCAGGAAATTGAGACATAGGTTTTAGAGGGATAGAGGAGTCAACGGTAGTCCAATCATTAAAGACAAGCCAAATTTTTTTTATTATAGGATACTTGGGTGTTTGCGTGTCCACCTTCCCAGATTACTTTCCCCAGCCTCCCCCCCTGGTCATCTCCCAGCCAACTTCTGTTAAATTGATTAATGTGAACCCAGATTTCATTTGGATCAGATAGGAGCTGATTTTTTTCCTTAGCTTGTTCCCATTTGATCGTTAAATCATTTTGTATCTGCTGTTTGATTGATGCAGTAAATTCTGGCACGTCCAATTGTGCACCCTCCATTTCAAAAGTACACCTTCTTGTCCAAATTGCCCATATGATCGCTTTCCTGCCTATTAAGAACATGTTGATTGTGAAATCATCTCCTTGGTCCGGATGCCATGATTCCAGTAGGAGGGCTTTCCATTCCCAAGGCCAGGGATGGGAAGTATTCATTTGATTCCAAATTCTATCCCACCATCTCCAAAGCCAGATTGACCCCGGGCATTGGAGGAAAATATGCTCTATAGTTTCGGGGATGAGTTTGGATGGAAAGGCTGATTTACAAAACTTACACCATGGGAAGGCAATGCCCTTCTGTTCAAGAGATGACCTGTCAATGATCCAATCATTCGTGGGAAGACATCTATGAGCAATTTGCCACTGTAAAGAAGCAATTTTGGCTGGTTTAGTTTTGGAGGCTTGGAACCATTTAATTCTTCTCAGCTCATCCTTACTAACATTAAGATTCTTGTGTCATCTTTCTTCAACACGGTCTTTTAAGTTAAACCTGGGACGGAGCATCCTGTAGGCTGCTTTGACTGTGAGGGTGTGTAGATTCCTAGGATGAGAGTGAGTACGTTTCCCCGGGAGAGACCAGCTCCAGCTATTTGGGTCAAAAGGAAGATGTGAGATAGGGGTGTCTGGTCTAAAAACAAGTCATTTAACACTCACAGGCTCCGAAAAACTGGGTCCATGCTTTCCACTCCAAGGTC